TTACAATTGAAAAATACTAATATATATGTATATAAGTATATTATTTTCTAAAAAAAGTAAATTGAAGTAGCATTAATTACTGTTTTAAAATTTAGAAATCAACTATAATGTTGCAGTCTTTATAGTCATAAATCAAATCAGAATTTTAAGTTAAACCATCTTTAAAATGAACAAATGTAATGTAATTTAAAGCATTTACTCCTGACCTGCACTAAACACTAACATCCATAATACAGAAATTTTCTTTTACACAGAACAAAACATATAATTTTTTTTTTTTTTGTTTTTTATTTCGTTCCTTGAAAGTGAAACACTTTATTTAATCTCATAATTTTAAATTATGGAGTTTTATTGTGCTATAACTTATTAAATATGAATTTATTAAGTAACTTGCCGTCGAGTTTCATTTTTTTTTCTAAATTTCTGTTAATACCTAAGCCATATAATTTCGCTTAGAGTCAGCTTTATGAAACATTATTAATTAAAAAATAAAATGCAGTGTACTAATACAATTCTTTCTATTCTCTACGAAGCTGTTTACATATTTACGTAGTATTTTCTTTTCATTTTATCCTTCATCGTGTACAATTGCATATTTTTCGCAACCCCCTCCTCTTGTAAACTGTATACATAATGAATAGGGTCGGACTTAATGATGATTTTACTCGTTATTAGCATTATGAAATCTATCCATACCCTCAAAATTAATCTATTTGCCATTTTATAATAAATAAAAATATAAAAAGTTTTTAATAATAAAATATCATAACAGATGGCTCCACCAAAAATTTTAAATGTTGCCGGGAAAGTTAAGCAACTCGTTGCTGATTTTTTTTAATAGGTCTTTCAGTTTAAAAAATATTTTTATGTTATGTTAATATTAAGTTGATTAATAATAATTATAATAATTTCAATTATTAGTTATTAAATTAAACAAATACAGTACATAACTTCATTCTAATGGATCAACTCTCATTTTAGGATCAGGAATATTTATTTCACCTAAAGGTTTACTACAATATTCAGGATCTGCTCCTGTAAGTTTAATTATTTGGACAGCATGTGGCATCATATCCTTATTTGGTAATTAAATATTTATCTCATTAAGTTTTATTATGAAATTTGTACATTATATATTAAAATATTGTTACAGGTGCACTGTGTTTTGCTGAACTTGGAACATTAATACCTTTATCTGGTGGAGATTATATTTACCTGTTAAAAGGATTTGAAAATCTTGGTTCAGCTAGTCCAATACCTGCATTTCTTTTTCTATGGATTTCTATAATCACTTTGACTCCCAGTTCATCAGCAATCTTGTCTCTGACAGTGGCTGAATATATTATTGAGCCTCTATATCCAAACTGTGTTTCACCTTTTATGGTTAAAAAATTAGTAGCTGTTTTGGTTGTTTGTAAGTAAATGCTTATTTTTTAAGAATTGGAAAAAAAAATTAGTTATTCACAAAAATATGCTTTCAAACATTATTATGTATTTTAAATTCTATAATATACTGTATATAAATAATTTAATTTATAACTGATAAATTCTTTTAGTTAAAATTTTCAATTGTTCAAATAAATGTAAAATAAAATCTGGATGATATCAGGTGTGAAATACTGTATGTGACTTTTTTCACAGGTCATAGACAATTATTAATTAACTGTTTAAAATACAAATGTGTCAATTGATAAACTCTTAAAAATTTATTTTTAAATATGCACAGAAGATAATTAAATTACAGTAGTTTATTTTAACTAAAATTAGATTAACTAATACTTGTTAATTATATAATATAAATTTATTAATTATTAAATATTATGTAAAACTTGTCACACTCATTGAGTAAATTACTATAATCTTCATATTAAAAAATTGGATAAATGAGACAAATAAAATTAGACAAAAAATTTCTTTGAAAACTTAGTTTTATTCACAAAGCACTATGGAAACATTCATAAACAATGTTTCATCATTTAAATCTGTTCAGTTTTACTCATTCATTTAATAAGGACAGTTTTATGTGGGACACATTGTATATCATGATATGTTACTATAACATATTATTTACATGAATTTAATCTAAGTAAAATATATAAAATGCATTATATAAATATATAATATGCATATCTGTGCATTTTATATATTTTACTTATATTAAATTCATATATTTTCTTTTTATTTTTATAAATGAAATCTCAACTATTTAATTTAGAGGTTGTAATTAAAATTCTACTAATACAAGTCTTCTTTCAGAAATATGTAAATTTTTGTAATATTAAANTACACAGATGGGTCCAAAGGCCCCCTTCATGTCAGCTCAAGTGTCTGTATCTTCCTGCAAGCTGACATATTTTGCCCAAAATATGTTAGAAGGTACAGATACCTTCCACATACCTCCATCTGTCAAGCTGAGGAAGATGCTGTCTACCAAGCTGTTCAGTGGGCCACTTCACTACCAAACAAAACTCTGTCTATCAACATTTACAGTGATTCTCAGTCTGTCCTAAAAGCCCTATTAAATCCCAATTGCAATAGCAACAAAATCACATATATCCAGCACCATATTAAAAATCACGTTAATAAGATAACTTTTATTTTTGTTCCTGGCCATACTGGCATACTAGGAAATAAAAAGCCGACTTTGAAGCTAAGTCAGCTGCAAAGGACACTGACTTGGACGGTCGCACAGAGTGGGGCCTGGAGCAAAATAAATAGGGCGTATTCAAAATCTCAGCATCAATCCAGTGAGATGTTGCAGGAAGTGACGCAACTAAACTTGTTTAATGAGAACAGCTTAATTAAAATGAATCTTTCGTAAAGAGAAAGAAGGATAAAGATTTTTTAATTTCCGTAAGAGTTATAAATAACTAAATCAATCCTAAGATTATATTTTAATAACTAAAACAAATTATGTGATGTTATATTAGTATATTAAATTATTCTATTAGCCTAAAGTACTAACCGAATCTTAATTTATTCTGGGTATATTCATCAACAAACAAATTATCAACGCAAAACAGAGCTCTTAAGAGTCTCGTGGCGGCTGCCATCTTGTTTGCTAGAGTATCGAGCGCCGAAAATGACACTGGTAGTTTGCTGGCTGCAACAGGAAATTGCCTGAGATTTTGAATAAGCCCATTTAGAGCTTTTTCACTGAAGTCACTTCTTTGACATTTTTATTATCCAGTATTTTTTTATTCAACAATATAAATTAAGCTGAAATGAATATCTTCTTTCTACTATATATAAATGTAATTTTGCAATTTTTATTTGATATGAAATGGAGAAATTCATGCCGATAATAATTTGTATTATCAATTTTGTTAGAAATGATTTTATTCCAAAGGACTTTCTGAATATTAATTCGTGTTTTTAAGTAGTCTTATCTATTAGTACGATAACAGCGATATTTACAAAAGTAACATCGCGAAATGTTTCTAAAACTCGTTTTCTTTTGTAGTAAATAAATTATAAACATTCAATATTACAAAATAATGTCATTTAGCAACATGACTTATAGAGCAACAGATTGACCTGTCCTAAATATTGTTCTCTATCTCTTTCCAAAAGCCATTAAAAATATATGAATAAAATCAACTAAACAAATAGAAGCAGATTTTTCACCATAATAGTAAAATAACAAAAAAAAAAAAATTTTGTGAAAGGTTGTAAAAGGGCTACATGTTGTACAGATAAATATAAATTTAAATGGATCAATTTTTTATATTTGGCATTGATGTTTATGAAGTTAAACGGTACAGTATTAACAATATCACACTGAAGGAATTTCTATGAAGTCTGAATAAATATCTGATATGTTAGCAATCAGATTATTTAATCAGATTTCCAGACTTTGTTATTCAGTATATCATTAATTTAAAACATTTCTTTGTTGTAATAAAATAAAGTTACAAAAGCTTGTTACTCCTAGAATCGTTTANATTTTCAACTTAATTATAAAAGTATTTGGATTTTTAATATAATATAATTGTATACCTTATATATTATTTTTATTAAATATCACTTTAGATGGGATTCCAGAAGAAATTACTATGTTTGAAGGCTCCGAAACATCTGTTACAAATATAGCAATAGCTATTTACTTTGGAATGTGGGCTTACAGTGGATGGTAAAGTTTATTTTCAAATTAAAACAATTAAACTTTCATCAGTAACAATTTTAAATAATATTTAAATATTGATAATCTAAATAAAGATTTAATAGAATTTAAAATGTTTTTATGAGAAGTAGAATACTTTTATTATTAAAAAAATATTCTTCAGAAGGAATCTACATAATTTTGTTGCTTGAAAAAATATTAGATTTAATACTTACAAAATTAGTGTTATGCTTTAAATTCCAAATTGATAAATGTATTAGATAAAAACATGGTTCAGTACCCCTCATTATATTGCTCATTCAGGTAAATTGTATTTTCTCAATCTTCCAAATATAAAAGTGCCTCAGCCTAATAATTTTTAAAGAAATGGGTTGCCATTGAAGGCAGTGTTTCTTTGCTAGTAATGGCAAGGAAATATTACCTTATTCCAAGCATTGACCTTAAAATTATCATTGTATGAAATACAATTCACAAAAGAAAGTCGACGTGAAGATCAAAAACAGATGAAAGAGATGGATAGATAACATCAGTTATCAATATATCAATCATGTATGATATTTTGCTTGTTTGGTTTGTCTCCTGACATACATGATATAGTGAGGGACTACTGTATTATTATTATAACATATAAAATTCTTAATTCATATAAATTATAAATCAATTTTAAAAAGTTAATTTATAACAGNAAAAAAAAAAAACTTTTGTGAAAGGTTGTAAAAGGGCTACATGTTGTACAGATAAATATAAATTTAAATGGATCAATTTTTTATATTTGGCATTGATGTTTATGAAGTTAAACGGTACAGTATTAACAATATCACACTGAAGGAATTTCTATGAAGTCTGAATAAATATCTGATATGTTAGCAATCAGATTATTTAATCAGATTTCCAGACTTTGTTATTCAGTATATCATTAATTTAAAACATTTCTTTGTTGTAATAAAATAAAGTTACAAAAGCTTGTTACACCTAGAATCGTTTAATAAGGATTCAAGCTTTTGTAATCACCTAGTCTTATTAGAAAGAAGAGACAAGAGAATGCTAATGATAAGAGAAAATGCAAAGTTAATAAACGTGGATTTGCTGTTATTCTGTTGTAGAGTTATGTAAACACGTCAGATAAATGAATATATTTTTTGAAGCTTTCTTATGAATAAATTTAAAAAAAATACATTTGTTATATTATACCCTTTTGAATTATTCTTTCGTCGATGACAATAAAAATATGCTATTATAAACATAAATCAGCATTTTATTAATATGCGAATGTCAGATTTCATGACCTAGATTTAAGGAAATAGCCGGAGAAAGGGTTAAATAACTTCATTTTGGCTTAAATTACGGCCAGATAAGTAATTTTTTATGAGTACCGTACGTGATATATAACATTTCTAATTATTAATTAAATAACAAAGCCTGTGGCTAGTGAAAATTTATACAACATTCATCTATAGCATAATTTTGTCCTGTCAATCAAACCAGAGCTAAACTATGTACGTCATTGATACATCACCGAAACGTCGTTTACCGGATTCATTGATAGCGTATTTCATCAATACACCTATGAGATTAAAAATGTCCTTAAAGAAAAGTCAAGACCATTTTAGTTTTCTTTTTTTACTGTTTTTACTTTGGTTTCTGTAATTATATAGTTCTGCAACATGATTTTTACTTTAAATAAAGTAATAGTCTGTTTTAATTAATAAATACTTTAACACATAATACAGATGTTTTAACACCTGTTTAATTAATTCATTTATTTGTGTGCGTAAAGATTTGTAGAAACATCTCTGCAGCACTTTGAAATAAAGACAGTTTGCCATCAGAATTTCAAAGTGCTGCAGAACTGTTTCTACAAATGCCTCTCTGATACTAGCAGAGCTCCTTCCTTTGCCACCATGTATTGAAGAAAAAGTTCTAAACAACTACATCAGAACCACAAACATCAAGGTTCAACAACGGTCTCTGATCCTATCTACGGCTGTTCATATGCTTCTACATTGCAATTACCCTACTGTGATCATCACCCTGTAAGCAAGGTTATCCCCAGGGTACATCTGGTGTCATCTGCGTCCTCTTTGGATAACCATGCTGACATTAATATCTACACAGATGGGTCCAAAGGCCCTCTTCATGTTGGCTCAGGTGTCTGTATCTTCCTGCAAACTGACATATACCAAGCTGTTCAGTGGGCCACTTCACTAACTAACAAACTCTTTCTATCAACATTTACAGTGACTCTCAGTCTGTCCTAAAAGCCCTATTAAATCCCAATTGCAATAGCAACAAAATCACATATATCCAGCACCATATTAAAAATCGCGTTAATAACATAACTTTTATTTTTGTTCCTGGCCATACTGGCATACTAGGAAATAAAAAGCCGACTTTGAAGCTAAGTCAGCTGCAAAGGACACTGACTTGGACTATATTCTTGTGAGAACCGAGGGGGCAGAGTGACCCCGCTTATCGGCGGCTCTTGTCAGGCGATGGCTTAGGAGGACTATAAGTGAGTGGGGAGGTTAATGAGTAAGTTGACAGATTCCCAAATAAATACACCGGTTCACAGGTTCTACAAATATAACATATTTAATAAACAATTTAAATAATACAAGCAAATGCAAAAGCTAATAGCTACCCGAAATGGGAATGATCAAAAATTCTAGTTCGCGACAATTCTGTCGATAGACCGTCTAACAGAGAGAGACCTGAGAGAGGGAAAAATTTTTCTGTGTGTTACCTCCTGGTTTCCCGATCTTGTTGTATGGGTCGTTGGCAAAAACGTTCCGGAATCGGCGGAGTTGACCACGGGATATTCTGGCTGGATGGCGACGGACAGAGTGGCGGTATGGGTCTGGTGTCCCCGGTTGATGTCCGCTGTGGGTTCCGCCCGGAGGACTGTGCCTAAGCCCTTTTTNAATATATCAATCATGTATGATATTTTGCTTGTTTGGTTTGTCTCCTGACATACATGATATAGTGAGGGACTACTGTATTATTATTATAACATATAAAATTCTTAATTCATATAAATTATAAATCAATTTTAAAAAGTTAATTTATAACAGAATTATGTGTATTATATTAGCATAATTAATTCTGAATGTTTTCATTTTGAAGTAGGCTATTTTAAAAGGTTCTACAGCAAATATTGTGGGCCTTTGGATTAAGTTGACAGATTCCCAAATAAATACACCGGTTCACAGGTTCTACAAATATAACATATTTAATAAACAATTTAAATAATACAAGCAAATGCAAAAGCTAATAGCTACCCGAAATGGGAATGATCAAAAATTCTAGTTCGCGACAATTCTGTCGATAGACCGTCTAACAGAGAGAGACCTGAGAGAGGGAAAAATTTTTCTGTGTGTTACCTCCTGGTTTCCCGATCTTGTTGTATGGGTCGTTGGCAAAAACGTTCCGGAATCGGCGGAGTTGACCACGGGATATTCTGGCTGGATGGCGACGGACAGAGTGGCGGTATGGGTCTGGTGTCCCCGGTTGATGTCCGCTGTGGGTTCCGCCCGGAGGACTGTGTCTAAGTCCTTTTTATCCTATTTTTGAGGGGTGAGAACTGTCAAATAGTTGATTTATAATTAAAAGAACACCTGTTAGCTGTGCTGGATCTAGATCCAGCTGGTACGGAACGTCGCCGATGTATTCCTTGGTCGGATTGTTGACATTGGTCTTCTGAAGGTAAAATTTTATGATATAAATTCCTACGAATTTGACAGCTCTCTCCCATTAATTATTGTATAGTTTGGCAATATCTTTTTAGAGTTGACAACAATCTCTAGATTGTTTATATTAAATATCGTATTAGTCGACGAGAGAGGCAATTATCATCATGTTGTTTTGGTTATCGTGCTAGTGTCCGCAGACACGTGCAGCTAGAGGAGGGGGTGAGAAACGCCGCTTATTAGTTTCTTTTAAACGTCTGTTCTTGCCTTGTTGATTTTATCGTTGATCGAATTTATCGATATAGACTGACATTTAACCCGAGGAGAGAGTTTCGATCGTTGATTGTAAACTATCCCTTTTTTTTTTCTGTAGAATTACTAGGGTTAGGAGGCGAACGATACTGATTTAAACAATACGAAAAAAAAGGGGGCAGAATATCACGCTCTCACCCCTCTCTCACGCAGCAGCCTTAATTAAAAATTATATTCATGTCAACGCTATATGCAAAAGTGGAACCAACAATGGTTGAGCAGTAAAACTGGTAGAATAACAAGACTATTTTCCTAGTGTTGATTGCAGATTCTCTTCACCACTTACAGATTTAACGTTTGCTACTGCTCAACTACTTACTGAGCATGGTAATTTTCGGAGTTACCTGACGATGTATAACCGGGCAGAAACTGCCTTTTGCTTTTGCTCTACAGTAAACCTTGACACCGTCGACCATATTATCTATCATTGCCCAATTTACGATCAAGATAGACTTATTCTGAAATTAGAAATCTTCACGCATGGTTTCAGGTGGCCATGTCCACTGGATAAGCTTGTTCAGAAGCTTGTTTGATGCCTTTTACAATTATGTTCAAAAAATATGCAAGAAAAGACTATTTATAATTTNTCTTCATATTCTAATATAGATTTTCATTAATAATAAATGACACAAAATTAAGAGAAAATTTTCTGTATATTGCTCTCAAGGAAAAGTAAATGACTTTTAATTATTCTCCTAAATGCAATTATCAGTAATTCTCCTTAAAAGGTATTATTCTATATAGTTTTAATTATTGGAAGAATTTCTCAAAATTTATTCCACAAATAATTTAATTTTTACTTTCTTTTCCTTTCCTAAAAAGTCAAATTGAAGAGTTTTAAAGTTATTATCGTACCATACATATTAATAGTAACATGATTTACTGAAAATGCATGCATCACTAATGTAGTGATGCTGAATAATTCACATATAATAGGATTAGCAAGCACTTTTTCAAAATAAGATAATTGTTTCCTTCAAATATAATAAATAATAACTACTTAAAAGTAATAAGGTATTATTTTCTATATATCATTATCTTAAATGTAAAAGAAAATCTAGAAACGAGTTGCTTAACTTTCCCCGCATCATTTAAAATTTTGGTGGAGCTATCTGTTATGATATTTTATTATTAAAACTTTTTATATTTTCAATTATTACGAAATAGCAAAAAGATTAATTTTGAGGATAGGGATGAGTTTCAAAAAAATTGTAAATGCTAATAACGAGTAAAGTCGTCATTAAGTCCGACCCTACTCGAGATATGACACACCATCCCCCTTTATCTTCCCATCCTCTCGACCTTTAACAACCAAAGTTTAATAGCATCAATCTCACTAATAGAAAAACCTCCCTGCAAAATTTCAGAAATTTTCGACCAAAAGCACAGGAGTTATTAAGCTTCAAAGAGCGTGAATAAAATCGTGCTCCACACAGACAGACACAGACACACTAAACCAGGCNTTATCTTAAATGTAAAAGAAAATCTAGAAACGAGTTGCTTAACTTTCCCCGCATCATTTAAAATTTTGGTGGAGCTATCTGTTATGATATTTTATTATTAAAACTTTTTATATTTTCAATTATTACGAAATAGCAAAAAGATTAATTTTGAGGATAGGGATGAGTTTCAAAAAAATTGTAAATGCTAATAACGAGTAAAGTCGTCATTAAGTCCGACCCTACTCGAGATATGACACACCATCCCCCTTTATCTTCCCATCCTCTCGACCTTTAACAACCAAAGTTTAATAGCATCAATCTCACTAATAGAAAAACCTCCCTGCAAAATTTCAGAAATTTTCGACCAAAAGCACAGGAGTTATTAAGCTTCAAAGAGCGTGAATAAAATCGTGCTCCACACAGACAGACACAGACACACTAAACCAGGCATAGCCAACATACGGTCCGTCTAATGAATTTATGTGGACCGCGATTAATCTTTCAATATTAGCTACTCAAGTCCGAATAGCTCGATAAAAACTTCTGACGCCTAAAAAAAAGTCAACAACTCATTGTGCGTTTAGAGTTAATTAACCCTCCATTACAAATCTCTTAAGTACAGCATAGAATGTTGATAATGCATGATAATGTAAAAAATTTATCTGTAATCTCTATCTACAATTCAGTTTCTACAGAGTGACACCACAATGAGATCTCGCACCACCTCAAAATATTCCTAGGACAGCCTCTGGTTCGGCCCGTGGAAAAAGTTTTCTTTCCAATTAGGCCCGGAGGCAAAAACTGTTGACCACTCCTGACCTGCACTAAACACTAACATCCATAATACAGAAATTTTCTTTTACACAGAACAAAACATATAATTTTTTTTTTTTGTTTTTTATTTCGTTCCTTGAAAGTGAAACACTTTATTTAATCTCATAATTTTAAATTATGGAGTTTTATTGTGCTATAACTTATTAAATATGAATTTATTAAGTAACTTGCCGTCGAGTTTCATTTTTTTTTCTAAATTTCTGTTAATACCTAAGCCATATAATTTCGCTTAGAGTCAGCTTTATGAAACATTATTAATTAAAAAATAAAATGCAGTGTACTAATACAATTCTTTCTATTCTCTACGAAGCTGTTTACATATTTACGTAGTATTTTCTTTTCATTTTATCCTTCATCGTGTACAATTGCATATTTTTCGCAACCCCCTCCTCTTGTAAACTGTATACATAATGAATAGGGTCGGACTTAATGATGATTTTACTCGTTATTAGCATTATGAAATCTATCCATACCCTCAAAATTAATCTATTTGCCATTTTATAATAAATAAAAATATAAAAAGTTTTTAATAATAAAATATCATAACAGATGGCTCCACCAAAAATTTTAAATGTTGCCGGGAAAGTTAAGCAACTCGTTGCTGATTTTTTTTAATAGGTCTTTCAGTTTAAAAAATATTTTTATGTTATGTTAATATTAAGTTGATTAATAATAATTATAATAATTTCAATTATTAGTTATTAAATTAAACAAATACAGTACATAACTTCATTCTAATGGATCAACTCTCATTTTAGGATCAGGAATATTTATTTCACCTAAAGGTTTACTACAATATTCAGGATCTGCTCCTGTAAGTTTAATTATTTGGACAGCATGTGGCATCATATCCTTATTTGGTAATTAAATATTTATCTCATTAAGTTTTATTATGAAATTTGTACATTATATATTAAAATATTGTTACAGGTGCACTGTGTTTTGCTGAACTTGGAACATTAATACCTTTATCTGGTGGAGATTATATTTACCTGTTAAAAGGATTTGAAAATCTTGGTTCAGCTAGTCCAATACCTGCATTTCTTTTTCTATGGATTTCTATAATCACTTTGACTCCCAGTTCATCAGCAATCTTGTCTCTGACAGTGGCTGAATATATTATTGAGCCTCTATATCCAAACTGTGTTTCACCTTTTATGGTTAAAAAATTAGTAGCTGTTTTGGTTGTTTGTAAGTAAATGCTTATTTTTTAAGAATTGGAAAAAAAAATTAGTTATTCACAAAAATATGCTTTCAAACATTATTATGTATTTTAAATTCTATAATATACTGTATATAAATAATTTAATTTATAACTGATAAATTCTTTTAGTTAAAATTTTCAATTGTTCAAATAAATGTAAAATAAAATCTGGATGATATCAGGTGTGAAATACTGTATGTGACTTTTTTCACAGGTCATAGACAATTATTAATTAACTGTTTAAAATACAAATGTGTCAATTGATAAACTCTTAAAAATTTATTTTTAAATATGCACAGAAGATAATTAAATTACAGTAGTTTATTTTAACTAAAATTAGATTAACTAATACTTGTTAATTATATAATATAAATTTATTAATTATTAAATATTATGTAAAACTTGTCACACTCATTGAGTAAATTACTATAATCTTCATATTAAAAAATTGGATAAATGAGACAAATAAAATTAGACAAAAAATTTCTTTGAAAACTTAGTTTTATTCACAAAGCACTATGGAAACATTCATAAACAATGTTTCATCATTTAAATCTGTTCAGTTTTACTCATTCATTTAATAAGGACAGTTTTATGTGGGACACATTGTATATCATGATATGTTACTATAACATATTATTTACATGAATTTAATCTAAGTAAAATATATAAAATGCATTATATAAATATATAATATGCATATCTGTGCATTTTATATATTTTACTTATATTAAATTCATATATTTTCTTTTTATTTTTATAAATGAAATCTCAACTATTTAATTTAGAGGTTGTAATTAAAATTCTACTAATACAAGTCTTCTTTCAGAAATATGTAAATTTTTGTAATATTAAATAAACAAACAATATGTATAAATTTTAAAATAATTGAAATTAGATATATTATATATATATATATAAGTAAATCAGTAAGTTTAATTTTTTTTTCTTTCAATTTTCAGGTTCTATTGCATTTTTTAACTGTGCAAGTGTGAAGCTAACAACTNACATCGCTGTGTAAGGCTACCGAAACGATCCAACGTGATATTGAACAGTACAGATAATGAAACGACCGATCCTTATTGGCCAATCGATTAATCGATTACATTTTAGTAATTGAGTATTAGCAAATAAGGGCGAAGAGTGTTTTTTTATTATACGCAAAGAAGCATCACTCATTCACTGAATAAACTAAAACCGAGTAACTCCTACTCATCAGGTAAATATCACAAATGGGTTGTGACGTAAATGCACAGGTCATTTAAATACTATTCAATAATTTCCTTTTAGCAGTCAGAAGTGTAGTACCTGGAAGCATGCCAGACACATTACAATGCTGAAGGTAAAAGTTGTACCGTTACAAATCGTCATTCTTTCCAATTAAAACAATTGCCTAACTATAAAATATCGCCAATTGTGGAAAGAAGAATAATTTCCGAAAAATCGTAGATAAAACACCAATTACGTGAAAATTTTTTCAAAAAAAAACAAAATTATCTTCGCTTTTATTCCGTGTTTTAGTTTGAATACTTTACTACGTGGCAGGAATGTAAAATAGAGAAGTTTGACAGTTAGGAGCGCGTGATATGGTCAATGTCGATTCACCTAACGCCTCTTACCATTAACGTAAAGGAACTAAATTTTCCCTATTTATATACATACATAACATATATTTTTAATCAAATTGACTGTGGTCATTCACCTTTTGTTAACAAGCAATAAAAAAATAACAGGTATTGTGTCAACAATGAAGCGTGTTGAAATGAAAGTGGCGAGGTGGTTGTCTGCACTTGCCTTTTAAGTATTAATCGCTATAACTTTATAGAGAAAAGAGGAGGAGAGAGAGAAAAAAAATCGATCAAAATTAAAATATAGCGTGTATATTTATATTTTAAAAATATAAATATTATACTATAGTTTCATTTATAAATTTACTGAATATTTAGATGCAATTTATCTTCTCTTTAGCTATGATAATTACTAGCAATGATTAAAATTTTCGTTTGATAATGATGTTAACACACATTTGACTAAATCATTTCTCCTTAATTGCTGAATAACAAACATCGAAATATGTTTCATGTAAAATTCATAAAATATTTTATAATCATAAATCTTTACAGACATATATATAAATATATTTATTTATTTATTTTTTTATCACTGAAAGTAAAACGTTCGAGCGTAAAATGTTAATGCGTGTGATGAATAAACTACACTTAAAATATTTTTAAACTTTGCATAGAGGAAAGTTAGATAATTGTTTTACATCATGTTATTTTAACATTATCATTTGCATTAATTTATAAATAATAACTTTTCTATTTTTATTTATTATTATTTATTATTATTATTTTCAATTCATTTGATGAAATTTCAAGTTTAACGAATTATTACTTTTAATAAGCTTTGTTTAAAATAAACAAAATTATAAAATGCTTTATGACAAAGTTTTATTGAAATTTTTCTAATTAGAGCTTCTTAAATATTAATAGATTTTAAACTCTTAAAATTAACATATGATAATTATTATAATTTGATTAAAAATCTATTTTTCTTCTAAAAAAGATTTTAATTTCAAGAATATTCTCTTTACTCTTCTCTGTTAATTTTCATTGATCATACACTAACTACTACAGAGTTCTAAATGCCTGTTAATAATTTATAAGCATATCAGTTACTGTAACTTATTCAAAATACAAAATTTTCAACTTAATTATAAAAGTATTTGGATTTTTAATATAATATAATTGTATACCTTATATATTATTTTTATTAAATATCACTTTAGATGGGATTCCAGAAGAAATTACTATGTTTGAAGGCTCCGAAACATCTGTTACAAATATAGCAATAGCTATTTACTTTGGAATGTGGGCTTACAGTGGATGGTAAAGTTTATTTTCAAATTAAAACAATTAAACTTTCATCAGTAACAATTTTAAATAATATTTAAATATTGATAATCTAAATAAAGATTTAATAGAATTTAAAATGTTTTTATGAGAAGTAGAATACTTTTATTATTAAAAAAATATTCTTCAGAAGGAATCTACATAATTTTGTTGCTTGAAAAAATATTAGATTTAATACTTACAAAATTAGTGTTATGCTTTAAATTCCAAATTGATAAATGTATTAGATAAAAACATGGTTCAGTACCCCTCATTATATTGCTCATTCAGGTAAATTGTATTTTCTCAATCTTCCAAATATAAAAGTGCCTCAGCCTAATAATTTTTAAAGAAATGGGTTGCCATTGAAGGCAGTGTTTCTTTGCTAGTAATGGCAAGGAAATATTACCTTATTCCAAGCATTGACCTTAAAATTATCATTGTATGAAATACAATTCACAAAAGAAAGTCGACGTGAAGATCAAAAACAGATGAAAGAGATGGATAGATAACATCAGTTATCAATATATCAATCATGTATGATATTTTGCTTGTTTGGTTTGTCTCCTGACATACATGATATAGTGAGGGACTACTGTATTATTATTTTTTAAAGTTTTATTTATTTAAACAAAAATTTAAAATTTGCAACTGTAATATCTAAATGTTACAAACACTACAAATAAAAATTTCATACCTTTCTATTCCCAAATCCTCGTAAGTGGAATCATGCAATCCACATACAATGGATTGCATGCTTCCCATGAATATCAGTTTAAAATATATTTACCAGTACACGTTTTCAAAGATACATTTTATAAAATTTTGATGTATCTTCACATCAAACATCAGTAAATTGACACAATTTCTTTCTTGCAAAATGGGAGACAGGCATTAAGAAACTCAGAATTTTGAAGAAAAGAGCAATAGAAGCAGAATGAATCAAATGTCACATGTTGAGAATATTGGCAAAAGCCCTGTTTGGGAAGCTTATGTAGCATAATTAGTAATATTGTCTGCTTAATCTGCAGTACAGTAGAGCATTGATTATTCAAAATAACTGGGGGTGGGACAATTTTGGATAACTGATCACACTTGATATGAAAAAATAAACACATAATATTTTTACTTTATTTAAGGTATTTAATTTTAATTTTAGGACAATAGTTAAAAGGGTAATTTGATAAATAACAAAATAAAATTTGCATAAATCATGTTGTCCCAAGGATTATTTACATATTTAAATAATAATGACCAAGCAAATAATTTTAGATCAGTTTATCCTTTAAACCCTTATCCTTTTTTAAATTCCAGCCAGAGATAGATGGTTAACAACTTAAAGATAAAATACAATTCTTTGTAAAAAATGACCGACGATATGACATTAAAAACACATACCTTATATGCTTGATGCTGACCTTTTCTTGTAGGATCCAATGCCAAGGACACACAGTTCTAAAAGTTTTCACAATCACTGTTGTATGTAAACACCATTCTGAAGACCCCTGGTGGAAATTCAGGAATTGAATGATATTTACATAATTAAATAAACTGTATTGTCCATGCTGTATTTAAACAAATCGTATTAAGCAATATGATTTGTTTAATACAACAGGGCACTTTTATATTTGGAAGACCAAGAAAATACAATTTATCTGAATGAGCAATATAATGAGGGACTACTGAACCATGTTTTTATCTATGAGATATTTATCAATTTGTAATATAAAGCATAAAACTAATTTTGTAATCTTTTGTAAGTATTAAATCTAATAATATTTTTTCAAGCAACAAATAATCTCTGATTTTGGTAAATCAATTTTCTGAATAATCAATGCAGCTGCAGTTTTGAGTAATGCTTATTTCCAGATTTTTTTCTTTTAATTTCTCTAAATTAATTATTAATTTCAGTACAAAATGGTGCTTAATATTTCTAGTGTCAAAATATATTAATTAGTTATTGCATAAAAAACAGTTCTATAATTCTTGTAATTCTTCGGTTATTTTGAGTACTGTTTTTATTACACTTTTTCATGTATCAATTACTTAAAAATTACCATGTATTATAAATATAAGGAAATTTTTAATGTATCTAAGATAAGAAAAGCCTCTAGTCCTGAGACACACTGCTAAATTCAGGTTTTGTCATGTAAGTTATGATCTTTAAGCAACAAAAAGTATTTAGAAAATTAAATAAACTAAAATTATAAATGAGAAGAAATTCATTTATTTAAGATTATGCATTTATGTTTTTTTCACTCTCAATTAAAGCTATTAAGTAAAATGTATTTAGCAAAATTACTTAATTAAAATAAATATTAACATTAAAATGAACATTTTTATAAAGATCTTTTAAATTGCATATCACGTAAAAATTCTTATGTAATAATAAAAATTAATTTTATTAAGTTTATATATAAATATGTTTACAATTCTATTTTATATTTACAGGAACAGTTTGAATAATTTGACAGAAGAACTTATAGAACCAGAAAAGTTTGTTTGATATTTTAATTTTTTTAAAAATTTAGTAATTTTATTATTTTAAAGCATATATTAAATTAGTATTTTACAATTATAATACTATATTATATGAGTCATACACAAAATAATATATAAATCTTAAACTAAAAATATCTGAAAGTAAACACACATAATTAACATCCAAATTCTTTTATCCCAGCCTTCTATATATATATAAAAATAAATCATTAGGAAAGATTCAAAACAAGATATTAAGATTTTCATTTATAAAAAATTACTACTTTCCTATTGAATAAGAATCTTGTGCTTCTCACATCAATCAATGTGTTAATAAGTTTATCATTTGTAATCTTGTGAGTTACTCAACACCCACAGATAGTATTGCTTCACTGATTTTCAGTCACGTTCAATCTTTTATAAACACAGGAAAAACTATGTCTAAAAGAAAAAGTGGTTGTTATGATAGAGAAAAAATTAGAAATATAAAATAAATAACACAGTTTATGTAAACTTTATGTTGTTAACAAATTTTCCAGATTATCTGGATTTTTTGTCATCTGGTTCAGGCATGGTCCCATTTGAGCCAGAAATGGGATTTCGCTGTAAGAAAATTATTATAATTTCAAGTAATATTAAATTTTAGAAGATTCTTCTTAAACATATTTAACAATTTGTAGATTTTATATTACTGTGTATTTCTAGTAAATACTATTATATCATTACCTATTCTATTTAAAAGCAATGCTTTCATGTTGAATTTGAAGATCTCTGTTTTCAAGAATAGATTAACTTCATCTTTTTGCTAATTATAACTCATATTATTTCTATAATATTTATTACTACTATAATTATTTCATATGTAACAGAGATATGAAAATAGGAACTATCACATTCTTTTCTAATATGCTTCAATTTTACATTAAACTTCAAATTAAATGTCAGAACTGGAATCATTTGTGAATAATGGCAAAATTTGAAAATTGTCACAAAATAACAAATATTTTTTTATAACTTTTTCTTTTTAATTTTAGAAATATTCTTCGTGCTATTGTAATTTCACTTCCAGTTGTTACAATTTGTTATATATTGACTAATATTGCATACTTAACTGCAATGTCCCCTGCAGAATTATTATCTTCTGATGCAGTTGCATTGGTATTTAATTTTTAAATGAAATTAATTATTTCTATACATTTTCTAAAATTAAATCTTAATTTTTTTTTGCAAATATATTTTTAAATATTTAATAGCTGTTTGCAAACAATGTATTTGGGAAAGCAGCTCCTGTAATACCAGTTCTTGTTGCTGCTTCAGCATATGGATGTGCACTAGTAGGATGTCTTGGAACTGCAAGGTGATGAATTAGCATTAAAATATAATATTTTAAATTTTTAAAAAATCATTTTGTTTCATTTTATTTATTATTTTATTTTTAAGATTAGCCTTTGTAGCAGCAAGAGAAGGACATTTATTAGATTTACTTTCGTATATCCATGTGGATTATTTGACTCCTGTACCTGCAGTTATCTTTAATGTATGCAATCTATTATTTATTTTATTGATAATAACTTTTTACTTCACAATACAATAAAAAAAATCAGTAAATAAAAACAAAATATTTTGAAACTTTTGTATTTTTTAAGTCTACTCTTTCTTTCTGCTAATCTAATACTCCTATTTTAATTATTACATTTTATAATTTTTATTTTAGACAATCCTTTCTATTATATTTCTTTCATTGGGCAACTTCAATTCATTAATAAATTTTTTAAGTTTTTCCACTTGGATGTTTTTGGGTCTGGAAATGATAGCTTTAATGTATATGAGATGGTCCAAAAGAGACGAAAAGCGAATATATAAAGTAAGTTTCAATATAAAATTCACTATTATTATTATTCTTCCTTTATGTTACGTAAAAATAATATTAACATATTTGTTTTTCTTTCAGGCAAATTTACTGTTTCCTATTGTTATGCTGTTAACATCAATATATCTTGTATTTGTACCAATCATACAAGATCCACAATGGGAATATCTTTATGCCTGTTTATTCATATTAGCTGGCTTACTATTTTATATCCCATTTGTTCATTATAAAATTCATCTGAATTGTATAGGTAAAGATATAACTTAATATTGATAACTAATTAAATGAAATTAAATATTAATTAAAATCTATTTATAGATAAATTTACATTTTTTATGCAATGTCTTCTGTTGGTGGCACCAAGTGATAAATTTTACAATGAAGATTCTGAGAAAGCAAAAAACTTGTCTTCAACAAAGATGTAAAATTCCTTAAAAAATAAGGAAAAAAATTTGCAATTTAGAAATAGAAATATATATGTGTATATATATGTATACACACATAAACTTGAATATATTTTAAAATCATTCAGTTAAGTATAAAGTATAACTTAAGGTCCAAACAATAAGTGTTGTTAAAAAGATTTTAATAAGAACTGTAAATATGTTTCACTGTTATATACTCGTATATTTAATATATTCAATACAAATATCAGAAAGGTACCTACTACTTTATCTCATTTTAATAAATATATTCAGTAATAGGAGGGTAATAACTGTATAATAAATATTTTTATATGGATGTTAGTTGGTTTTAATATATAAACACTTAAAATATTTTTAAGAGTTCCAAAATTTAATTTTATTAATTCCGAAGTTAGAGAATATAGAGTGAGAATTCAAAATGTCTGTCAATTAGACATTTTTAATGTTTAATTGAGAGACATTTTGAATTCTCTGTCAATTGTAAATCCTTAACTTAACCAAATTTTCATAAAATTAAATATAGAAAGGTCACACAAGAATCTTACTAAGAAATTATTTTTAAAATACCTGAAATATATTTTCTCATAACATTTTGTTTGATATCAAATCAATCATTCAGATTTGTGTAATGATGCACAAACTTTTATCTTGAAATAACAGGAGAAGGAATGAATGAAATATATTTTAATTGTTAATTTGGCTTAAAATTAAAATATGAAATATTTCAAATAAGGCAAGTTTTGTTTCAATATATAGAATTTTTGTAAGCATCACTGTTTTTCAAGTTAAATACATTTAGCTGAATTAAAGTTTAAAAAAAAAAAATTATAAAAATGTAAACATATAAGTAAATCTACAAAAATAAAAATAAAAACAAACTGAATAAATTTTTAATTTTTTAAAATAAAAAATAAAATATAAAAAAAGTACAATCAAGAAATTAATATTCATTTTGTAAATAAAATTTCTGTTGATATTGTTTGCTCTTGTTTATAAAATTCTAAAATAAAGCTGTAAATTCATTGTAATATTAAATCACTTTTGAATAAATTTCAAATAATAGTAATATTTATCATAGTCTTTAGCCAATTTTTTGAGAAATATTGTTAGTATTCCATTTAACATTTGATAATGCTTACCTATGTAACAATAATTATTGATAATAAATATATACAAACTTCGTTGTTTTTGAAGCAAAAAATGCTTTTGGTTGATAACTACAAGAATATTTGTAATTAGGTGTATCAAATATACCTTATTAGAAATATTCTTGTAGTTATCAATGATGAAAATACCTCTCACCCTTTAACTTCTAATTAAATATAAATGTAGGCTATAGTGTTTGCCATTTCAACAGGATTTTTTCTTCAAAGTTTAATGGTAATTTAACATCTCTTTATGCTTTGAAATTTTATTTAGTTTGAATTTATAACCTGTATCAACTGCAGAAATTAAAAACTTTAACAACTATTTATATATATTTCAAATGAAATATTTTAAGTGTAATAAAAATAACAATAATAATAATGCATTAAAAAATAAAATTAACATATCAAAGGCTATTAATTTTCCCATATTTAAGTGAAAAATTATTCACAAACATTATCTCTTTTAGAAAATTGTAAAGATTAATTGCAAAAATTTATTTTCTGTAGAGTTAATTTTTATATTATATTTTAAATTATTATTTTCAATTAAAAAGATTTTAAAAAATTAAATTTTGCAACATTTAAACTTAATTTATTCTTAAAAATGCTTTTCATTATCTATCTATACCTAAAAAAAATACTAAAAAATTTTATGGTTATGTTATATTTAAAGCATTTAATCCTACTTAAAATCTAATAATAAGTCAGTGACCGACATTTTCCTGTCCAACTGCAAAAGGCATTCGGTAGTGATAAGGAGCTCGGTTTCCTGTAAAGGAAGAAAATGCGGAAATTGGGATGTCTGAGTTACTTCCACATGTACTGTACACAAACCTGATAAGTTAAAAATTAAAGAGATTTGAAAAAAATTACTTCAAACTGTGTTTTGAATGCAATTATTTAGTGGAATGCAAAATAAACATACTTTCAACAAAATATTTATTATGTTTACATTTGCATAACAACAACCAATTTGAATTAATCTATTGATTTTATGTATTAATATAAATGATAACATTTATATTAATACAAATTAAACAGATATATACACTGCAATCAATGTTGAAACATTGGATATTTTATACAATTTTTTATCCTTATACTTTCTATGTACAATTTATTAAACATTTTAGAAAATGGCATTTCACAACTCTTTCACATATATATTTTTTTCCCCTAAACATTTAAACAAGTTTTAAATGTTATTACACAATTAACATGACAAGAACTACAAATTCTAGGCACAATGGCAGAAAATTTCAAGTAAAACATCATTTGTGACAATAATATTCTACCAAACTTAACTAATATTTAAAAATATATAAATCTTATCAATCTGTCCATGAATTAAAACTCGAAACTCTGATATAAAATAATAAACTATATAAAAACATGAACCATATTATATGCAAATTTCACAACGTACATTAATGATTAACAGAAATGCTTTTTAATTCAATACATTAATATGAAATAATATAACAAATACTTAAATACTCATTAAAATCTTAGAAATTTTAACTTAACAATAGTTAAAAACATAATATCTATATGTGAACTTCATTCAACAATGCAACAATGAAACTTTACATTTCAATATTTAACATAAATTATTTTCATAACTGTTCTTAATAATAAAATTAAGATTTAAAAAATCTTATAATAAAATTCAAAATGCAAAAATGCATTTTTAAATAAACATTTGTAAACAATTATTGCAATGATGCTGGAAGAATTTTAAATGTTTAATTGTGCATTAGTATACAGTTTTTAAAATTATTAAATTTAAAAACTAATTTCTAAAGAAAAAACTATTTCTATATTGCCATGATTTTTGACATAAGTCATGAAAGATATTGCTTATTTTTCTGATTGTTACATATATTATTACATTATAAAAATTTGAATAATAAAATATCTTAAAAATAAAACTTAAACATTTGTGCTAAGAATAAACAAAGTTTTTTAATCATATGTTATGACATTGATAATGACAAAAATTCTGGACAATACAGAATCAATGAATGAAATAAAAATTTCAATTGTAGGAATCAATTTCCAAATTTAAAAATATTCATAAACATTTAGAAAAAATAATCATTTTTTATATAATAAAATTTTAAACACATGAGATCACAAGAATAAGTTTTAAAATATACATGTTTATTCTAAAATTTAGTTATTAAATGCAGTACTTTTCTTTTTTCAATTGTATTAATGATTTATGACTATATTTCTAAAAATGAGAATGAAGTAATCATCTGCACATATCAATTATTCTCTATAAATTCGCTCAATGTTTTCTTCTAAAAGCTGGACTTGTTCTGTAATAAATAATAAAAAGATTACATTACATTAAACATTTTGCACAAGGTAATTATTTTGAAAGATTAAGAGAAAAAGTACCTTTAGGAAGATTAGCTATTGTGCATTGCTTATGAAGAAACTGCAAGCAGAACTTCTTACTTAGACCAAATGCATGCATATTATATGTAAAAGTACTAAAAGATAAAGATAATTTTTATAAATATTCAAATATTATAACTTCATCTGATTAATTTTACAAATTATTAAGTACATTTTTGTTAAGTAAGCAATACTGTGCTAAGATTCATGTCATCTCCAGATCCACAAAGACATGAAGATATATATTATCTAAATTATGCACATCATGTGATATTGAATAGCACAAATTTAAAATTTTAATAATAACTGAATTATTTGATTACTGCATTAAAAATGTTTAATTATAAAATATTCTAAATTGTTTGAGAATAATTGTGCAACAGTATTAATATTATATTGAACAAAATACTAATGAATTTTTTTGATTTTCTATTGATGATAAACTCAGTTTATTCATTTTTATTCCAAGATTTGTATACAAAACTATTTTAGGTTTAATTTACTAGGCAAAGTTGTTTTATATTATACAAGAAATTTGTTTGAAATTCAAAACTGTGATATAAGATTTATAATACAACTTCTAGTTTCGAGAGGATTTAAATAATTTATTTTATAATTAACTGAGGAAAAAAGATTATGATTTTAAAATTTAACAATCTCAAAATATGATAATGTTTAGAACATATATTAAAATTAACCTAAAGTGAAAAATAATTTTTTTAAATTACTGATTTTTAGATAAGTTTTGATTATAAGATACAAAATTGCATCTCATTATTATTTTCAATTAAAAAGATTTTAAAAAATTAAATTTTGCAACATTTAAACTTAATTTATTCTTAAAAATGCTTTTCATTATCTATCTATACCTAAAAAAAATACTAAAAAATTTTATGGTTATGTTATATTTAAAGCATTTAATCCTACTTAAAATCTAATAATAAGTCAGTGACCGACATTTTCCTGTCCAACTGCAAAAGGCATTCGGTAGTGATAAGGAGCTCGGTTTCCTGTAAAGGAAGAAAATGCGGAAATTGGGATGTCTGAGTTACTTCCACATGTACTGTACACAAACCTGATAAGTTAAAAATTAAAGAGATTTGAAAAAAATTACTTCAAACTGTGTTTTGAATGCAATTATTTAGTGGAATGCAAAATAAACATACTTTCAACAAAATATTTATTATGTTTACATTTGCATAACAACAACCAATTTGAATTAATCTATTGATTTTATGTATTAATATAAATGATAACATTTNACATATATTAAAATTAACCTAAAGTGAAAAATAATTTTTTTAAATTACTGATTTTTAGATAAGTTTTGATTATAAGATACAAAATTGCATCTCATCAAGAAATTGTAATAAAAAACATTAACTTTATAATAAGTGTAAAGATATTATATTCAGAATTACACATATTCTTTCACAAATGTAAATGTATATAATTAAAGTTTCATGTGTACCATACTTCCTATTTAACAATAACAATGTTTTTAAATTACAAACATTTCTACATATAGAAAAGTTGAAAAAAATATGGTAAGTTAAAAGTTTTTAAATAACTTTTAAAAAATATTTACCCAAGTTGGCCAAAAGTTATATTTTCTTGAAACTGCTTTTCATCACTCATTTCTTCTGGACTGTAATTTCTGAAGTCTTTCCTAATTTTTTAAAATTATATTTTTAAGAAATAAGATCATATTAATTTAATATTATATACCAAGAATTCCCATCCTTCTTTGCTTATCAAATTCTTTTCAAAACCACATTTAATTTTCTTACCCTTTTTATACCCTTTAAAATATCAAATAGAAATTAATAATAATGTTTTTCTTAAACATGAATAAAAATTAAAAATTATGTATTTTATTTTACTGAAATATAAAGATATGTCAGTTATTCTTATATATTATGTTATTAAATGTAAATTTGCCAATAAAACCCCAATGAGTCCTAGTAATTTATCAACTCAACATGATAAATCAATTGACCTTTCAGGAATTGCTAGCAATCAGATTGGGAACTCCTGCTATATACTAATTAAAATTACTTATTTAATTAAACTCCATTATAATTTCAAATTATTTAGCTTATAATTTTGTTTTATGTATTTGTATTGGAAATCAACAAATTATTTAAAGCAAAAATGAAATATATTTAACAGAATTAGAGATGATGATTATTCATCATCATTTCATTAGTATACAGGATTTTTATGTCTGATAATGCTAAAACATTTATTACCATAGACATTACCCAAATGATACCACTTTTATATTCATATACAAGTCATTTTGAAAAGAAATTCTCAAAGTTTTTGCCCATCACATAACATTATAGAGATTTGATATGGTAACCATGTGTAATGCAGCAGATGTCCATATGGTAATCCAACCCTTGCCTTACTCTTTCCAACATAATCTCTGTGATAATGGTGGCTACTTCTTGAATTCTCTGTACTTCTACAACACACAGCAAAGGCAATACATAAACATCTTTTATGTATCCTCAAAGGGAAAAAAGTCACTTACAGTTAAATTGGATGACCACAGTGACCATTTCATGCGACATATGTCCTTTTTCCAACTTATCTAGTGTTTAGACAACACTACATTATGGAGAGAATCTCAAAGTTTTTCAGTTTAATGACGTATACGAAAGTGATATTGTTTGTAGTCTGCATGTAATAAAGTTTTCAAAGTTTTACTGGACTTTATAAAAATCCTGTATTACGTTTAAAATTATAAATATAGATTAATTTATCATAATGTTAATAAATCAATGATTTACTTTCTTTTGGTATAATTATTTATTTTAATTTCTAAAATTTTATGATTTATTATTAGTTTTATTCATTTTCAATTTATTATTAACTATTTATTTTGTAAACTAAATGATTTCATATTGATTATTCCTAATCTGAAATTTCATATTTTCTCATACATTTAAATATTATTGAAGTATTATCTTAATTATTATTAAAATGCACATAATATTTTTATTTTTATAGATTTTTTTAAATCATATTCAAATTGATTATTTGAAAACTAAGTGCATAGGAAAAATTTTATTAATTAATTCTAGACAGAAAGTTATAAACAAATGTTAGTTTTAAATAATTTTCAAGAAATACTTATTTAATGATTTTTGCAATTATTTATGTAAAATCTGGATTAACATAAGTAAAAAACTAAATTTAAAAAAACTTGTTTTTCAGTTTATAAATAAATTTCTCAAAAGAAGCATTTTAAATATTTACTTCTGAATTTCAAGAAGCAATTAAATTAAAAATAATTAAAATACAAAAATAAGAAAAATTTTTGTTAAATAAGTTTTATCTAAATAACAAGTAAAATGGCAAAGCCATTCTTGGGACGAGACTATGTCTTAGAGAGTGCAAGCAATGCATGTGCAAATCTCACACTTGTGCGTATTTGTAGAAACAGTCGCACCATTTTGTATTTTATTTTGACCCTGTTCTTGGTCCCCTGACTACCTACAAGTCTGGTTTTTTATGTGCACATGATTTGAGCACCAAATACTCTGTGCCAAATTGCAACTCCTGACATGTACTCCTTCATACCTCTAAGGCGTCCAGCCGTTGACAGCAGTGCGATTTTATAAACAAGACATAGTCTTGTCAAAAATATACAGATATCCCTCATACAACACAGTTTCACTAACACAATTCAAAAATTTGGGGAAATCCTCCATATAAAATTTCACAATTTTTAATTGCAAACTCAGTTTGATAGATTTTTTATTCAAGTAAGCATGCATGTTGTCGCAAATTTGCCCATGGATTTTAGAATATTGAAGTATACAATTTGTTTTGCGCCTTTTGTCAGGTTTAATGAAAATCAATTGTGCAAATTTTTCTTCCTTGTTCTAGCTTTCCTACCAACCAATGTTGTTGTCATTGCTTTCAGACTTTAGCCTTTAAGACTGTCACCATGTTTGGTTCTTATAGATTAATCTTTGTAGTTAGTAAAGTTTATTTAAACATTTTTAGGCAAGTTTTATTAAACTTTTTTTTAACTGTAGGTAAGTAATCATTTGAAAAAATGATGAATGAAATACAGTGGAATCTCGAACTGTTCCCAACGTTAACAATTCAGTATTCAAACACAAATTCTGAGGGAGGAAAAAAATGCTCCTTACTCAACTGAACAAACACAACCTGCTAAAATAAATTTTCAATTAATAACATATTTTTATTTTGTCATCCATAAACTTTTTTGATAAAAATAAAAAAATGAAGATGTTGCTGATATTTTCGATCAAGATCAATAAAAATAAAATAAAATAAAATAAAGCTCAAAAGATGACGACACTTTGTAATTTAACTAAAATTAATATTAATGTGTAATGTAGTACTTTTAATTATGATTGTTAATTAATTATTGATTGATTCAAGAAACATATTTCTTTTAGTAATGAAAAATAGTAGTATACTTTTATTAACGTTTAGAACCTAAGCCTATGTTTTTCACTAGTCCTTTGTTTTGTATAAAACATATTTGCATAGCACAGCACTTTTTCAGGACATAACTACCATGTTATATAAGGGATAGCTGTATTATGTAATAGATTAATCAAGAAATATTCTAAATTTTATTTTAATCTAATAAATACTGTAATTACTGAAATGTTATCATTCTTAATACTGTAGTTGTATTAAAAACAATTTTAAGCTTATTAAATCATAATGAAACATTTGAAATGAGATCATGTAATAGTTAACATCATACACCATTAAAAAAATTGTGTAGGTTTTATTGTTTCATTATCATTAATAATAAAATGAGTATTATCAATTATTTATATAAAAAATATTGTGTATCTGTTTTAAACTGTTTTTAACATAATTGTTAATTGAAAATCTATAAAGATTTTTTATTTAAATGGGAAAGAAATTTTTTTTAACTTGATGTAATGAATTAGTAACTTATAAAAATTATTAATTATTATTATAAATAAATATAAAAAAGTTTATTTGTAAAACTTTTATTTTTCCTTCTTTTAATATCAGCTATAGTTTTGTTTTCCTATGCACAAGTTCCTGGTACAAAATTTTGGCACCACAGGCAGCTAAAATCATCCCAACTGTTTTTCATCTCTCCCACACCAGCATCATAGAATGGTGTGAAATTTACCACCAGTTTGTTACCAACACCTGCATAAACAGCAGATACAAGGACTCCCTTCCCTGCCTGGCAATCTCTCCTTTGCCACACAACCACCACCATTGTAATCCACCTTCCCTGTTTGTTTATTTTACAATCCTTCCTTCCCACACTAGCACTCCACTTTTGACTTTTGGCACATGAAGATGATCATTTAACCAGATAAAAAACATTAGCATTCTAATAAAAATCCCATTGGTAAAAGTTCAGAAACTAGTTCAACTATGTTATCACAGTGGCTAGTATATCATCTTCACTACACATCAATTTACTTTAAACTGAAAGCTAAATACATTAGTATATTTGATGTGAACAAACATATGATGATAAAAGTTTTATCATTAGTATAGTATGAGAAATTTTAATCATTTCAAATTACCTTGTTGGAACAGTTCTATGAGATCTTTCACATTGGACTGCATCAAAAAATGCTGCATTCCAAAATCTTAAAGAATGCCAAATAGGCTGTTCTTTCAAATATGTAAATAAATATTCTTTTTTGGCAGAAGAACTATTTACTTTAGCTAAATATTAAAAAAAAAAATTTAAACTTTTAATTTAACATTCATTCAATTTACAAAACTCAAATAAATAAATACTGTACTTACTTTCATAGAAAAATGTAAAACACATATTCATGAGAGACTTAGCTGGAGAGAAATCATCAGCACAATCACATTCAAATAAAACAATTGCAAAGTATTGAACCAAGCAATAAAATGTATACTCATCCACTTGTTTGTTATTTACTCTCTATAAATTTCAAATGGAATATTAGAAAAACTGATTATTGATATAATGAATATTTTATAATTCAAATATCAACATATAAATATTTTAATAACTTTAAAAAATAATTAAATTAAGAAATTCATAATTTTTATCATGCAGATATAAATATTAAGCAAATTAATATTTATCTATATATAATGTACTTAATTACCATATATTTCCGCAGATAAAGACAACCTTCAGATAAGATGAGGTATAAATTTTCGTCAAATTTTTATAGTTTTAGCATATATATGTTCTATAAGATGATCCCCAAACTATCAACAACCTATGAATTTAGTTTAGATCAGTGATCAGCATCTGGATAATAATACTGTATAGTGTATATGGAATTATGTCCTATTTGTAATTTTTCGAATAAACAAATTTTATTTTCTTGCTTCTGACAATACTGCCTTGTGATTATTGCAAACATTCACACTGATTCGGGCTTTCGGATAATGACTATTCACAAAAACGTCATATGGGCTATTAAAATACATTGGTGAGTGATTTGTTTTATTTTATAATGGTTTTAATTTATATAAATTTCAATCTAGTTTTTTTTATCTGTCCTATAAGATAACCCTAGATTTTGGGGCCTTTTTTTATGATTCAACTATCATCTTATCTGCAGAAATATGCGGTACTTAAAATCAAGTTTAATTTTTACAAAAATTAAATATTTTCATTTACATTTAAAATAAAAAAACATAACATCTATCAATATATGTGTATTTATTTCTATCAATATTAAGTCATTATCTAATCATACAGCATAAGATAAAGCATATAAATTTTATAGATTTAACTGTACAGTATTACCTGTGCATTGACACATCTTGAAAACCATAATCTACCCAATTCATGCTGGGAAAGTTCTCCAAATCTTGCTTTCTCTTCATAAGTAATGCTTTTCCTAAGAAAATTATTAATACCTTAATATATTAGAATCTATAATTATTTTAATCATAACTACTTAATTTAGTTGTATTATATCTAGTATAATGCATTAAAATTAACTAACACTTATAGCAACAGTTTAAAAATTTCTATATACAATTTAAGAGAAAAATATTTTTAAAAAGCATAAATTAAATAAATCTTTAGAAGAAATATTCAGTATTTTTAATATTGAATATGACAATAAATTCTGTTAATAAAGTAAATAATATATATATAAAGGTCCATAAACCCAATCTGCTCAGGGAGTGGGATGGGCCAGATTTCTCTAGATTAAAGATAAATATGAAAGTCTAGAATCTAAATTATTTAAGATTTAAGGAAATAAAGAAAAAGAAAATGAGTAAATCATGATAGTTCTATTAATTTTTTAGAAGAAAAAACTTATAAATATTTCAATAAAAATGCTTGACAAGAATTAATGGTTTTAAATAACAAGAAAAAAAATAAATAAATAAATAAAAATTATTCTTCAAGCCCTTCAAGTATGAAAATTAGAGACTACCATTACCAATAAATAAAGGAACATCTGAAAATTGTACAGCACAAAAATTGAACTGTTTAGAAGACTAATCTAAATTCTTAATTAATTTTCAATAATGAATACTGACTGTTTTCTACTTTTTTTTTCAAAATGCAACACTATTTCATAATAAACTTTGTTAAACACACTCCTGATGATACAAAAATATAAAGTACAAGAAATTAAAATCACAAGTGCTTCTGACCTTTGATATTAGAGAACTTTTTAGACAAACAAAAGTGTGATGATCCAGAGGCATTATTTTTAATAATTTGTAGAATTAGGAATTTTAATAATTGTGAAAAAAGTTTAACTAAACTTGAAATTTCAAATTTAAATAGGGAAATAAATAACATTTTATCTCTGATTTCATTTCCTTCAAAAATGATACATCTTCCTGAGAGTGCTACTCATCCAAGGAAGTTTTTGCTAAAATTTTGGATTGGATAATAATCAAAAATCAGATATAATCTTGCCAAATTTGGTCAGATACTGATACGTTGGAAAGGGAAATCATATATTGTAAAAGAAAAAAAATCAAAGGAGGTCAAGGCAGTTCATTCATCAGTCCTCTTTTTTTCACTGCAGGAGATACATTTTTTTTTGCTAATCCATTAGTCTTTGTGCTTGAGTTCATCTAAATCCTTTCAAAAATGAATAAGTTCCTGATCTTTCCTACAAGTTACTACAGATGATTACCATACGATTGTGTAGTGTTATCTTTCAGAAAGAAGTACCTTTAAAAGGGAGTGAAAAGAATACTGTGTCCAACAGAGACTCTAAGACTTCCTAAGACACCTATCAGGGATCATTTGCATTGCAGGTAAATATCATCTCACAAACTGAATGCAAACTTTCTCTCTCTGTTAGATGAAATTAGTCACAACCTTAGTATATAACAATTGATAGGACTGTAAGTATGTTATTTTCTTTGTTATTTTCTTGTTTATGCATTTTATGTTAGAATAAATCTTTTATTGTCTAATATTATATCTGAGTGATTCACTTCCAAGTGGCCTCTCTAATTTCTCCTCTATACTCTTACCCCAAGTTCCCATGCAGATATTCATGACCTGGGTATAGATTAAAACCTGGGTGGTATCAGAAAACATGGACATCCTGCATGATCAGTCTCTCATGTGATTTGCCATTACATAATAACCTCTACCACCAGTCATGTGACCCTCACAAATAATTCATAATTTTTCATTTTCTTTTGTTAACTTCATGTTAATATACTTTTTACACAATGTAAGTTTAAATATAAGTAACATAATTGCTACATTATTTCATAATTAGTATCTCAAATGTCTCTAACAAATTAATTTTTCAGATAAGTTCTAGATAAGAATGGTTAATATTAAAGATAAAAATTTTTATTAAAGTTTCATACACATCTTAAAAATAAAATATGGATATAATAAAGTTTGATAAATGTATTAATTTCAGTAAAATACATATCAAACTTGATCAATTATATCAAAATAAATAATAAAATCATTTATAAAAAAAAATGCATACTGTAAATAACAAAACTTCAAATTCAGTTATAAAATTAAATAACATTTACTTCATATAATCTAAGCAATTTCTTACCTTATTATATTAATTAAATTATACCAAGGGCTAGAAGCAAAGTTTTGTAATAACTTCTTACCTATTGAAAATTTTCTGAACAAATAATTTCATAAATTCAATGACAAGCTGGTTAAATTCGTCTAACTGGCTATCACAACTAGAGCTCCAAGATTGTATGGATCCACCTGAACCTGATCTTCCAAGTCCAAGATCTCTACTTTCAGGAATTGATTCAGCATCCGACGAATCAAGACTTGTACTATGTCCACAAGCATCTGATTCACTGCTTACTCCGGCCGAATCAGTATTGCGGAAAACATAAAAAGGATCATGTTTATTAGAACATGATTGTGTACTGTTATTGCCTAAACTTTGATCACTGTCTGCTGCAAGAAGAGAATCTTCAGATGATTCATTTTGAATACGTACTTTCAAATCAGTATTCTTTAGATCTATTTCAGGCTGCCCATATACCGATCGGTCTTTTCGTCTTGCAGATCTCTGGCGATGCTGCTTAACATAGTAATAGGTATTGGCTGCCTTTGAATAATTTCCTGATGGTAGGCTTGATCTTCTTGAAGAGATGCCACTGGTGGAAACATCCTGCACAGGAGAAGTTTTTGCTGAAGTGTTAGCACTTCTGGAAGACGTGTCAGAATCTAAAACATCAAAACTTAAATTTAAGGCAGCTTCAAGTTTGGATGATAATCCAGTTAATATTTGATTTGTGTTGAGAACTGAAGTGAAAAATTTGGAGGATTTTCCAGAAGAATTCCAAAAACTATCAAAATTCTTATTTGGAATATCTTTATTACATTCAGAATTATTTCCAGAATTAAATACTGAACTTAAAAAACTATGTGATCTCTTTCTTGAATCAGGCAAAGTTGGTTTTTCTTGTAATATATTTAAATCTTCTTTTTTATTAGTATGACAAGTCATTTTTGCATGTCTGAAATAATTAAAAATTACTATTTAAAAACTTTGAAAAATACTATTTATTTAGGCCTACATGAAAAAAAATTAAAATATTTACAAATTAAGACTGATTTATATATAAATATAATTTAGAAACTTTTTAATGATATACAATATACTTTCTACAAATACATAGTATATAATTTTATTGAAGGGTTATCACACAATTGAAACCATTATTGCCTTAAATGACTCCTAAAATGTATTTTGGTCCCTGATGTTAAATGGCCCTCATCAGTTAGGTAATCATATATTATATACTAGCTTACCCGTCGCGCATTGCTGCGATCTCAGAAGAAAGGAAATTCGAGCAAACTTGTTATGATAAAATTCAATATTTACATTTTATCATTTTTATTGAAACTTATTATTATTCATTTTCATCGGGAAAACATTTCAAAGTGTCGTTTCAATTCTATTTATTTATTGGAGTATTTGTGGATACACGATATTTTTTGTTTTTTCGTCTGGAGCGTACACGAATAAATCAGATGGTTTTCCGACACGTGAGCTAGCCACATTCAGTTGTCCATGCGAGAAGCACGGATTCTCCAAATTTAGCTCACACACTGGCAGCGATTGTCAGAAGTGCGATATTCCCCATTTATATATATATTTTTTAATCCTTTATAATTTTGATTATTTAATTGCTCCTTCCTCTCTTTCTTGGCGGGATTATTCATGTGTTTCTCTA